AAAAGAAATGAGAGTTATGCAGGAGAGAGTCAATGGCTTGGAAAAGGAAGGACAAAAATTAACTGTAGAAAGCAAGTCCTTAAAAAATACAATTGGCCAACTGGAAGAAAAAGTACAGTGAAGAAAACAAGTCCCTAAAAAATGCAATTGGTCAGATGGGCAAGGAGGTACAAAATCTAATAGAAGAAAACAATTTGTTAAAAATTAGAATTGAGCAAATGGAAGCTAATGACTCTATAAGAGAGCAAGAATCAGTCAAACAAAAACAAAAGAATGAAAAAATAGATGAAAACGTAAAATATCTTATTGGTAAAACAACTGACCTGGAAAATCAGTCCAGGAGAGATAATTTAAAAATTATTGGTCTACCTGAAAATCATGATGAAAAAAAGAGCCTGGACAGTATCTTTCAGGAAATCATAAAGGAAAACTGCCCTGAGGTTCTAGAACCAGAGGATAAAAATAGCCATAGAAAGAATCCACTGATCACCTCCTGAAAGAGATCTCAAATTGAAAACACCATTGGAATATAGTAGCCAAATTCCAAAATTACCAGGTCAAAGAGAAAATACTGCAAGCAGCCAGAAAGAAACAATTTAAATGTCATGGAACCACAGTCAGGATTACACAGGACCTTGCAGCTTCTACATTAAAAGACCATAGGACGTGGAATATGATATTCCCTATGGCAAAGGAGCTTGGATTACAACCAAGGATCAACTACCCCAGTGAAAATGAGCATAATCTTTCAGGGGAAGAGATGGATATTCAACGAAATAGGGGACTTCCATATCTTTCTGATAAAAAGACCAGAGCTCAACAGAAAATTTGATCTTCAAATACAAGACTCAAGAGAGTCATAAAAAGGTAAATGGGACAGAAAGAAACAGCATGTTATTAATAAGGGCAAATTGTTTACATCCCTCCTTACAAGGGAAGATGACACTTGTAACTCTTGAGGTCTGTATTGTTATTATACATGTTAAAGTCAGATAAAGCCTATCTTTCTTCTCTTTTTTCATTAACTCTTGGAAGGAAAAGTTGCTTCTTCCACCCAAGATTCCCATGATTTCTGTCTGACCAACAAATTCCTCCTCATTGGACAGGATCATATATAGAATAGAATTTCTCCTTATTTGTTATCCTAACTTTTGAAAGACAAAATTATCAGCAGTGCAAGAGTGTTAGTTGCTCTTCTTTCAACTGAGTGAAAAGCTCATGGCCACATAATTTAACTTCATCATTTGTGGCCTGTCTTTGTGGCAGCAAAATCTGTGTCAAGATATATTTAGTTTTTATCTTGTAATATTAATTGGCTTCCCATTTACAACTTCTGGAAGAATAATGAAACTGGTAATCTAATGATTTCTATCCTAAATTTTGTTCGTAATTTAATATCTGGACTACTACCTTCTTTTGCAAAATGTTACCTCTTGAGGCTGTTGTGAATTCATAAATTGATATGTTTACATTATGGTTTATACCCTCAAAATATTAGTTATTTAGATTTTTCCAGATTTTGCCTAATTTTCACTTTATCTTCATTGACTAATGGAAAAATCAGAGTTAGAAGAAACCTCAAATATTAGTTAATCTGACTCTCTACAACCTGGCCCTCATTATAGTTCCAGCCTCATTGGGTATTATTCTCCTTACCATACTCCTATACGTAACCAAACTGACTTCTCTTTGTTTCTCACTCACAATATTCCACTTCATGTCCTTATACTGGTGGTATCACATGCATGGTTTCCCTTCCTCCTTGCTTCTACCTCATGGAGTTGGTCTTTTCTTTTAAAGTTTAGGTACAGTTTAGGTACCAGCTTTTGCATGAACCTTGCTCTGATCTTCAGAATTGCTACTGCCATGCCTCCCACACTATTTAACTATATATTTAACTACTTTATGTGTATGTTTGTGTATGCCTCTGTGTGTATATTTAGTAATCTCATGATATACACACATATGTACACATATATGTACATGCATGTGTGTATGTATATATACGCACATGCACACACACTCACATACACATAAAATTGTTGTCTTCCCCATTAGAATATTATTGCCTTTTGGGTAGGAATTTTTTTTTTCATTTCTGTTAGCTCCTCTGCCTCAAGTCTTTTTTAAGAGGCAGCTAGGTAGCAAAGTGGATAAAGTACTGGCCCTGAGTCAGGAGTACCTGAATTCAAATCTGGCCTCAGACGAAACACTTAACTAGCTGTGTGACCCTAGGCAAGTCACTTAACCCCAATTACCTAAAGAAATAAAAATAAAAAAACAATTAAGCCTTTCTTTACTCCAGTCCATCTTCTCCTGATCTGCCTTAGTGGTTTTCCTAAAGCACAGATATTACCTTGTCACCTTACCAATATAAACTATTGAAAGTAGAGATAAAATAGCACCATCAGCCATGATTATAACTGAATTTTAAGTGGCATGATATTATTTATTAGCGAGATGAGTGAGAGCTATATAATTTTAGAGCTGTAAGACCTCAAGGATTTTTCAATCCAAATCCTTCATTTTATCGGCGAGGAAAGTGAGGTTCACTTGGGATTATAAACTGACCCAGATCACACTTAGTGCCAGAGTCAAAACTAGAATCCCTTGGCTACCTGTACCAATATGTTTATAATAATAATAATGATGATACCTTACATTTATAAATTGCTATAAAACTGCCTTTTATGTGCATTCATCTCATTTGTTTCTCAGTAATCTTGTTAGGTAACCAGGACAGCTATTATCCCTGTTTTGCAGACTGGGAAACAGAGGTTCAAAAAGTTTAATTGTCTTGCTCAAGGTCCAATGACAGAGCTACAAGTCAAACCCAATACATTTGACTGCAGGTCTACTGTCCTTTCCTTCCTTAGCTCTGAGTTTGAGGTGTCTGTATACAGTTTGACCCAGTATCATCATTAGGAATCAAATACTCCTGTTACTCTTCTAATCTTAAAAGCTTTATAACTCTGTAATTCTATCCTCCTAAGCCACACTCATGGTTTCTTTCACTGATGTTACCTTTAAGATGCTTCACCTTTTTCCATTATCTCTCTTCTGCCCCTTTGGTCACCATGTAAAGAAATCAGTATTGTTTTTGATAGCTGAGAAAAAGTAGAATATATTCTCCTAAAATACTCAGATAATTGGGTCCCCATTGTAAAGACCAGACAGGGGCTGAAAACAACAGGCCTTTTTAGACTTGCATCCTCCTTGCCTGTTTATTAGTCATACTCATATCAAATGGAACTGCTAACATTTGGATATAGTCTTGGTCATTTAGGCAGAGCCTCAAGGGCTTCTGCTGTTGGCAAGTTATACTGAAGAACTCCTTACTTTTATTTGGAATGACAGTCAAATGGTTATAATCCTTATACTGTACTAAAGAGGCTCAAGAAGACTCTGTTTTACAAACTATTTTTGTTTCTAGAATTCATGTGTACATAGACTTTGTGAAACTAGAAATTATTCCTTCCATAGAAACAGCAATGTTATTTATACTGATTACGTTTTTAGGTTAGCCCACAAAAGCTTATGATATTGTTGGAAAATGATGTGCTTGCAACTTTAAAAAACAGAAAACTATTCTTGCAATTTTAACATTAAAAAAAATAAAGCAAGACATTCTCTGCCTCTGTACAAACAAGTGTAATGTTGCCAGTAAGATGAGAAAAAGGATAGTGATCTGTTCACTTTATCTAATTACAGATGGCAGAGTAGGTTGATTCCTTCAGTAAATTGAAAAACATACCAAGAATACATTTCTCATATCCCTCTTTCCCTTCATCCCCTCAGCCCATGAATTCCTGATTTGGCTTAGTGAAAAACAATGTATTATTCTAAAGGAACAGTAGCCAACTGCTTCCTGACCCTGTCCTGAGGATAGGGAGTGGGAAGTGATGAACTCTAGTGATACAAAGGCATATGAGGATCAAGTAAAGAATGGGAGTATTCTGAGAAGCAGATTAGGGCTCCCACGAGGCAATATAAAGGCTGAGGGACAGGGACACTGAGAATAAAACCCCTAGAGCAACTTCGTTTGGCTCTAGAGACCAAGCATTTAAATATTTTTATCTCACAAATAAAATGAAGAGAGAATTACAGTTAAAGTAGAGAGGGAAGGAAACATGGAAGCATAACTCCTGTATGAGCTCCAGAAGGAAATTTGATATGGAGAGGGATGAAAAAAGAACAAAGTATAGATGAGATAATGAGTCAGACAGTTTCCTGTTAGCAAGTAATACCACTGTGCCAGGACAGGTAGTTGCTAGATTGACAAAAGCTGGGGGGACAGAAAAACCTTTGGTGATTGGGGGGTAAGGGAAAAACCAGCGTCATGCAAGTGGCCATTTGTAAAGATGTGCATCACTCAGAACTCAAGGTTGTTAAAATGTTTCTTTTCTTTACCTAAGAAGGGACAAATTTCTTCCAATACAAATGATTTCACTACTCTAGTCCTCTCACAAATTTGTGTTTTGTTTCCTTTTCTTTTTCTGTGTAAGAGAATGTGACATTTCTTATAGTACAAAATGGTTATTATTTCTGAAGTTATGTGATCCTGGATGAGTCACTTTGCTGGTTTGGGCCTTAGTTTCCTAATTTGTAAAATGAAAATGTTGAACTAGCTGCCCTGAGAACATTCTAGTTCTGATGCTCCTTTCTCCGTCCATATTTCACGCTTCATTACTTTGCTCTCTCTTGCTAGCCAAGCTACTTCTGTAATGCCAATTTATGTAGGTAATTAGTTAGACATTGCATTTTTTTGTGCCTTTGGACTCCATGATTTTTTTGTGTGAAGTTCTTCTGTTTAGTGAAATATATTACAAATGCCTGCCTTTGGTTATCATGCTAACTCAAGTAATACCAGTCTTGCCACTTTTGTTTGTGATATTTAGACTTAAAATGATTTCTCTCAAGGGACAACTTTGAGATTTTGCGTCTTAAGATATCAGTGTGGTTTATGATTTACTAACAACATATATAATTATATATTGCAGATACTGGACCTATCATGATGAAAGATTTTTATACATGTTAATGGAATATGTTCCTGGAGGAGAACTTTTCAGCTATTTGAGAAACATGGGACGTTTCAATAACAGCACAGGACTATTTTATTCTGCAGAGATTATCTGTGCAATAGAATATCTGCACTCCAAAGAAATAGTTTACAGAGATCTAAAACCTGAAAATATATTATTAGATAAAGAAGGCCATATCAAGCTCACTGATTTTGGATTTGCTAAAAAGCTAGTAGACAGGTAAGATATGAAGTCTTTTAATTTTGAAATTTGAAAATTGTGAAAGTTAATAGTTGAAAAATTGTTTGCTTACCACTTAGATGCTTCTTTTGATTAATAAGATTTATCATTTTTACATGACTAAAATGCATATTTGGTGTAAATTATATGTGTGCATGCATACAAACACATGTATATGGATACATATATGCATACACATGTATAATCATGCATACACACACATATATACATGAGTGTGTCTATAAAATTACCTTCACAAATAATTAATGGTTGAATTAGCTAGTTGTGTGAGAAGTTATTTTGACAGGAGAGAATGAACAAATATGAAAAATAGAAACATCTTATAAAACAACAGTCTTGGATTATTTATCAAGCTTGTGTTTGTTCCCATGCAACTGATTAGGCCCTGAGAGTGTTACTGTATTACTAGGATAGTATGATACTCAATGTTCATAATTAAACCATGAGTAATCAAGAAAAAGGTAAATTATATTTAGAATATTGCACAATATTCTAAATAATAATATTAATTTATATTCTGAATATTCAAGAAAGGGTACTGTTTAATATATTGTAGAAAGATTTCCATCAAAAATATCTTACCAAAATGTTTAACCTTCAGTTGTCGAACAGATAAATTATATGGAAAACTTCTTTGTCATATAAGGTCAGATAAAGATGTATGTCAATTTATAGCCTTCTACAAATATCTATTTTTCTACTTTGGTAGGCTATAAAGAGTTTGGCTTTCTCAGGAAAATTTGACACTATGCTTTCAGGGAGGAATTAATACTATTTATTCTACATATTCTTCCTCAATCATTTTAGTTGTTGTATCTATGAATATTTTTAAATGGAATGATTTCTCAGTTAAATGTACTATGAACCAGATAGCCCCACCATTTAAAAGTTAATTATTTAGATCCATAAGGATAAATCAAAGAAGTGCATTATAAAGAGCAGGGTCAGCTAGAGATTTAATCATAGTGACTTGACAGATTTTAAGAATCTGGTTTAGAGTGTAGGTGCTGCCACACTGTGGTTGTTATGAATTTTCATCTGTGAAGACAAATCAGTCTGTCTAACCCTTTTTTGTTATAGATGAGGAAACTGAGGCTTTGTGTCTAACAATTTAAAAAAATAGTTTATATGGAAGACTGATTGAAATAGAAGTAATGGAATTTTCTCTTTAAACTATTGGTGTTTCATTTTTGCTTTTATAATATTTATTCTTCAGTGAATCTTTTTGCTCAGAAAACATAATTAACACCCAAAAAAGTAAAAACATTTTTACTTTTTATTTTAAAAGTATTTTAAGGAGGAGCAAATATTAATTGTCTGGAGGAATTTGGTACTATGTTGATATAACTATGGGAATTTAAAAATGTACTTAAATCTCTCCTACTATGCAAGTCATAGCTTGGTATGCTATCCTGCTGTAATTAATTCTTTCTCATGTCTCGTTAGTGTCTGATATTGACAAATAGATTTAGAAAATAACCAATTTAAATTCTTTAGTAAAAGACAGCCTCTTTTGATCCTGTTCTTATCATGGTAGCTAGTCTATATTCATTCTTTAGGTATACATACAGGTATACATGATCATTGGGTAAGGTTTGTACAATAGAAATGAGGTAGAATAATTTGGGATGAAGATAAATGTAATGTCTACTTTAGATTTTCATGGATGCATAGAAGTATTATGATTTTTCTTTTAAAAAGGAGAAAAACAAGTATGGTTTAAGCAAACAGAATAAATATATATTTTAGAAAAGTGTTTTAAAATATACTCAATGTTTAATAATACAAGCAAATTTTACTTTTAATAATTTTATATGATAAAGGTGCATTTTAAAGTTTATATAAATGTATCATTACTTAAAATACATTTTAACAATAGTGTTTTATTAGAAATACTCTATATTACTTCATTGATTATAATTATTTTCCTTGATATGGTTTGTTTTTTTACATTGCTTTTTTGGTACTTTTAGACTAAGGGTTTAAAACTAATAATTAATTGCTTTTTTTGAAACTTTGGTATTCAAACTTTGTTTTATGTAGAAGAAATTGACATAAGTCCAAGAAGAAAAGTTATATTTAGTTTTGATTGAAGCTTTGTCCTAGAACAGCACATTAAACAATTGTTCTGTAATTCCTTTTATAATCTGGGAATGCATTTAGTTTAAGTCACCTTAAATTTTCATTTCTGGAACCTCACTGGATAAATCGGAACCTTGATGGTCAGTATTTTTTACTGTAATGTATCAGTTTAACTATGGCGCATGTAAGCATAGTAGAATCAAACCTGCATAAGATAACATTTTCTTCATTAAGGCTGTTTGGGGATGAATAAAGAGATTTAGGGATTGTAAGTGCCTTCGGAACAGGTACTGTTTCATTTTTATTTCTATATCCCTTCACCAAGGAGAGTGCCTGGCACATAGTAGGTACTTATTGATTGACTGATACTGATCCCAAGGGAAGGAAAGGAATCATGAGATAGGAATACTTCTTTACCCTCAGGACAATACACAGGTAAACAAGTATTTGTTTTATTTAGTTACCTGTATCTTCTGTATAGGAGGATAGTTAGCAGAACCTAAGCAGGAATCACAGAAGCATAGAATGTTAGAGCCAGGACATTAAAAATATAGGGCAGTCTTCTCACTTTGCAGGTGAGGAAACTGAGACCCATAGAAATAAAGTACCTTGATCAAGGTCGTTCTCAGGAACATGGATTTAGAGACTGAATGGGGCTTAGGTCATTAAGTCTGAACTCCTCACTTTACAGATGAGTAGAAACTGAGGCCAAGTGACTTGTTTGCTCAGCGTCACACAGGTAGTATCTGGCAGGATCTGAAACTAGGTCTCTTTTACTTCAACTTCAGCGTTCTGCCCACTGCGTACGACACACTGCCTCCGTCTGGGGTGCATTTCCACATGGCTACTTATAGCAGATTGAGGATTTATAACTGCTCTTCTTCAATTCAGCCAATATTTATGAAGCATCTGCTGTCCTGCTATAAGTAGTAGAATGTTCAGCTCTGTGAGCAAGACATTGTACTCTTTTTAATGCTCCTAAGACTGTATTAGTTTTTGTGGCAACTGTGTCACAGTTGATTATATTGGATATGTGGTTAACTAAAAGTAAAACTTTTTTTTTTATTTGAACACTAATTACTGTCAAACTACATATTGTAGAATGGGCCTAATTCAGGCCAGTCTGACATAATACTCCTGCCATAGTATGTGTCCGCCATCCTGTACTTTTGAAATAGATATTTTAAAAAAAGCCAAAACCCTCTAAATGTAGGATGTAACATTGAGCCCTGGTAAATTTCATTGTGTAAACTGGGACCAAATGCTACAGCTATCAAGGCTGGAATCTTGATTTTTTTCACCCCTTGTATTAGCTATCCCTTCTAGCTTTTTTACCCTGTACAAACTTGATAAGCCTTCTACGTCTTCATCAAAGTTAATTGATTAAAAATGGAGAGTAAGGCCAAGGACGGACAGATAGATCCCTGTGGCAAGACAATAGAGGCCTTCTTCAAGGTTGACACCAAACCATTAACCAGTGCTCTTTGCCTACAGTTATTCAACCATATGATTCCAACTGCGTAATCTTGGTTCTTTCACCCCTCTGGACCTCAGTTTCATCATCTATAAAATGAAGGGCATTGATTTGATGGTTTCTAAGGGCTCTTCCACCTCAAAAATTCTGTTAAGTTTTGACTCTTATCTAACCATATACTTATCCAAGCCCTATTTCTTTAACTTACTCATCAGACTGTCATAAATGACCTTGTAAGTGTTTTGCTGGAATAAACCTAATATTTTGTAAATAATACTATAACTTCATGAAGCAGTTTGGGGTGTGTGCCTGTGTTGTTTTGTGTGTGTTTATGTGTGTGTGTGTGAGAGAGAGAGAGAGAGAGAGAGAGGGAGAGAGAGAGAGAGAAAGGGATAGAAAGGAAAGAGAAAAAAGGAGAGAGAGAAGGAAATTAATTCTCTTGGTAATCTTGAGGTCAGCCATCATCTCTGTTTAAAAAAAAAAGAAATTGAAGCTTTTAGAGGTTAAATGATTTGTCTGATATCACCTAGCTAGTAATTTACAAAGGGGAATCTTGAACCCAGATCTTCTTAGTCCTATTTATACTACCCATCAAGATACATTCATCATTCTAATAATCCTATCAAAGAGATCAGGTTAACTTTACATGACTTGGGTTAACTTTACGTGATTCAATTCAACATTTATCAAGTGCCTGTTCTTAGTATTAAGTGACTTATTAGTAAGCATCCTGGGTTTTTGTGGGTCTTCCTTTCTTTTCCCAAGAGTTATCCTCTGTTTAACATTTTTTCCCCTAGAATTTGCCAGAGATCAATGGTAAGTTCATCAGCCTGCCCATAGTCTAGAATTGATTTCTTTTCTAATTTTGAAAATTGGCAACTTTGTTCATAACCAGTCTTCTTGACATCTTTTTCCCTTCAAATCATTTCTGATAGATAACTGACAGTGAATCTGCAACCCTTTAATGATGGGACCAAACTGATGAAAAAGGAGGCTATAAGGATAGGTTTCTTTGGAGAAGTCACACTTGGTAGCATATTTGCAGTGATACTAACTGTGACAGAACTCAGGCCTAGGAAGAAACTTTTGACCTTGGAATTTAATTATAAAGAAAACAAACAAAAATGTACTAGGTGAGTTCTGTATAACAAAGCATTTTCCTTGTGGTTAGTGATGAGAGAAAAATAAATAGACTTTCTCCTAAGTCAATTCAACAAACAATAGATAGCTGCTACGTATGGGACACCATGCTAGACTTTGAAGATACCTTGAAAAGTAAGAACCAATTTCTGCCTACAAGAAACTTATGTAATCATTTTGCAGTGCTACTAATAAGAGCTCACATATGGCACATTAAGGTTTATAAAGCACTTTAATTCATTATATCATTTTTATCTTCATAGTGACCCTAGGAATGAGGTGC